GGTGGGGCTCTCCCATATTGTTCACACTGCTAAATTGTAATTTTGTATTATTAATTTTTAAAAATCATTTATACAATCATCGGTTTTGTTAGTGAGTGGCAGGCTTGGTGGGAGGCAGAAATCTTCGGACGGGAAATTGCCCCCCCCCCCCCATATCGTCAAGCTTTCGAATAGAAACTTGGCACATTGGACTCGTTGCCGACGACAACACACTATATCAACCCCAAATCCGAAAGTTCAGTTTTTCCTGTTTTTCAAGGGGACCATGAAGGAAAATTCACGATAACTGAGCGAAATGATATTTTAAACAAAATTATCGCAATTGCGTTTGTTGAGTAATATTTTCTTTTAGTTTCCTGAAATAGTAGGTGAAATAAATCTGCGGTGTAAAATCTGGTGGATCATTAGAATATTGATATGGTGCAGGGGCGTGGAAAAAAATGTGCGGCTGCGAGCCTTTTGGAGGGGGTGGGGGGAGATCACTAACTGGGATTCTTATAAAGTACCTTACTTGTAAGTATGTTTTGTCCAATTTTCAGCCCCCTCCCTCAATAGTTCGATTTTACATTTTATAAAGGATTTATACGAAAAACAGAGTTGTTTTTTTAAAAGGGTTTAGTTTAATTATATTTATTGCAACAGTCACGTAGAGTGTTTAGGTAAAGTTACATTGTAATGTCGAGTGTTTAGGTAAAGTTACATTGTAATGTCGAGTGTTTAGGTAAAGTTACATTGTAATGTCGAGTGTTTAGGTAAAGTTACATTGTAATGTCGAGTGTTTAGGTAAAGTTACATTGTAATGTCGAGTGTTTAGGTAAAGTTACATTGTAATGTCGAGTGTTTAGGTAAAGTTACATTGTAATGTCGAGTGTTTAGGTAAAGTTACATTGTAATGTCGAGTGTTTAGGTAAAGTTACATTGTAATGTCGAGTGTTTAGGTAAAGTTACATTGTAATGTCTTTCTACTCCAGACTCACTAGAGTGATTAGGTAAAGTTACATTGTAATGTCTCTCTACTCCAGACTCACTAACGGGAGCTTTGCCGGACCTGAGTTTGAAGACGATGACCTGAGCTACGATGATGATGAAGACTGGGCCAACCCATGGGACTCCGAGATGGCGAATAACTCGGACAGCACCACCCCTGGGCCCAACACCATCACCACCAGGCTCCCCGGAAACTACACCTGGAACAACGGAAGCAGCGGCAACGAGACCGACGGCAACTACACGGGAGGGTCCGATTTGTCCAACGGCGAGGATGGTTGGGAGAGTTTGATCGATGACAACGACTTCACCGCTGAGAGAATCAGGGTAAATAAGGGCTGTGACGGGTATATTGGGGTTATGCTTCGATTGGTAAGGATTATAGGGTGAATGTTAGGGTTATAGTTTGATGGTTGGCGTTATAATTTGATGGTTAGGGTTTATGATATGATAGGATTATAGTTTGATGGGTATGGCTGTAGTTTGATTATTATGGTTATAGTATTAGATAGTAGGGTTTCAGTTAGATGGTTAGGGTTACAGTTAGATGATTAGGGTTACAGTTAGATGGTTAGGGTTACAGTTAGATGGTTAGGGTTACAGTTAGATAGTTAAGGTTACATTTTGATAGTTAGGGTTACAGTTAGATGGTTAGGGTTACAGTTAGATAGTTAAGGTTACAGTTTGATAGTTAGGTTTACAGTTAGATGGTTAGGGTAACAGTTTGATAGTTAAGGTAACAGTTTGATAGTTAGGGTTACAGTTAGATGGTTAGGGTTACAGTTAGATAGTTAAGGTTACAGTTTGATAGTTCGGGTTACAGTTAGATGGTTAGGGTTAAAGTTAGATCGTTAGGGTTACAGTTAGATGGTTAGGGTTACAGTAGATGGTTAGGGTTACAGTTAGATGGTTAGGGTGACAGTTAGATGGTTAGGGTTACAGTTAGATAGATAGGGTTACCGTTTGATAGTTAAGGTTACAGTTTGATAGTTAGGGTTACAGTTAGATGTTTTGGGTTACAGTTAGATGGTTAGGGTTACAGTTAGATGGTTAGGGCTACAGTTAGATGGTTAGGGTTACAGTTTGATCGTTAGGGTTACAGTTAGATGGTTAGGGTTACAGTTTGATAGTTAGGGTTACAGTTTGATAGTTAGGGCTACAATTTGAGAATAAACGTTATACCTTGAAAATTAGGTGGTGCTTGGGGCATTAAACACTATATGGTGCTCAGGTGGTGCTTGGGGCATTAAACACTTTAAGGTGCTCAGTTGGGGCTTTGGGAAATTAACCACTTTATGCTGCTCAAGTGGTGCTTGGGGCATTTAATACTTTAAGGTGCTCAGGTGGGTCTTTGGGACATTAACCGCTTTTATGTGCTGAGGTGCGACTTTCGTGCAATAACCCCTTTAAGGTGCTCAAGTGGGGCTTTGGGGAATTAACTACTTTAAGGTGCTCAGTTGGGGCTTAGGGGTAATAACCACTTTAAGGTGGTCAGTTGGGGCTTAGGGGTAATAACCACTTTAAGGTGGTCAGTTGGGGCTTAGGGGTAATAACCACTTTAAGGTGGTCAGTTGGGGCTTAGGGGTAATAACCACTTTAAGGTGGTCAGTTGTGGCTTAGGGGTAATAACCACTTTAAGGTGCTCAGTTGGGGCTTAGGGGTAATAACCACTTTAAGGTGATCAGTTGGGGCTTAGGGGTAATAACCACTTTAAGGTGGTCAGTTGGGGCTTAGGGGTAATAACCACTTTAAGGTGGTCAGTTGGGGCTTAGGGGTAATAACCACTTTAAGGTGCTCAGTTGGGGCTTAGGGGTAATAACCACTTTAAGGTGGTCAGTTGGGGCTTAGGGGTAATAACCACTTTAAGGTGGTCAGTTGGGGCTTAGGGGTAATAACCACTTTAAGGTGCTTAAGTGGGACTTTGGGACAATAACCACTTTAGGGTGCTCAGGAGGGCCGTCGGGCAAAAAGGTTGGGATACACTGATTGACCCCCAAATGTAGTGTTTAGTTACTATTTTGTGTCATTATTGATTGATTTGTTTTGTTATTAAAGGAAAAGGTCGAGTGGTTCTCAGAACTCGACCAAAAAGAACAGCTGAAGTACGTCCTCCACGACCTTGTTGATATCATGTGCAGGTCAGCCAGGCAGTACCTGTCTTTCGTCGGCCACTTCGAACAGGCTGTCATCGACTTCAGGAAGGAAGACAATTAAAGACATCAGGTACGCCGTTCACGCAAGGAAAGGACCACTTTAAAATCTTTATGCCGCATGAAAAGGGATTTGATTGGAGTTACATTGACAGCCTATATAGAAGTGTCTCGCGATCTTTTCAATGCTCCGCAAACGATCCCCACATACCGAATGCTTTGCCTAGTCTTGTACCAGTTACAAATAGTTTCATCAAGTCTTCCCCAACTTACAAAAGTCACATTGCTTTTTAAAATTTGTAGAAAAATTGGACTGCTAATTAATTTATTCATTTAGTTGTTACGTAATTTGAAATGTTCATTAAAGAAATGTTTATAAACATGTAGCAATTTAAATCATAAATTTACGCCCTTATCATATCTTGCAACCCTTGCAACCCCTGAAATACCAACCTCGCACTCAAGGTGTGTGGGAGCACCCCAGGTTTGGAAACCTTGCTCCTAGGCGTTATAAGACAACCAATGGTGGGTCGTTGATTTATGAAACTACCAATGGTGGTCCATTGATTTATGAAATTACCAATGGCGGCTTATGGCTTTATGAGACTACCAGCCACGGTCCATGGCTTTATGAGAATAGCAATGGGCTTATGGCTCAATAAATCTATCAAAGGTGGTTCCTGGTGTCATGTGAACATAGATTCAGAATAACAGTTTTTTTTTTTTTTTTTTTTTTTTTTTTTTTTTTTTTTTTTTTTTTTTTTTTTTTCTGGGGGGGGGGGGGGCTATAGCTTCAAAAGAACATACATTTGGGGTTGAAGTGGGGGTGGGGGTTGTTGGGGGTGGGTATTCAACTTAAGATTAGTGGCTTTTTTTTTTAATTACTCAATTTTTGTTCCGGTTGATTAGCAGCATTCTGATTGAGTTCAAAAAAACTCGGAATAAAAGTAAACTAAGCTAAGAAGTTGTTTGTGCAGACTTGGAGACTATCGCTATATAGCAATTTAACTTGGTTTGCTACATGACAACTTAAACTTGTTTCGCTATAACAACTTTTACTTGTTTTGTTACATGTTTCGCTATATAACAACTTTTTCTTGTTTTGTTACATGTTTCGCTATATTACAACTTTTAACTTGTTTTCTTGTTCATTTGTTTCCCCAGGGATTGGTTTTTCGAAGTCAGCAGCTCAATATTTAAGAAGGAGATTTTGTGCGTGTGTTGTATGGAAAAGTTTGTTTATTATTTTTATTGTTTCGAATAAAACACTATTTTCATATTTTATTTTTAAAAAGTTTTATCTTTTTCATGGCCAAGGCAAATTAAACATATTTTTTTTTTAAATACACGTCATATCAAATTTCAAAATTTTCTATATATTATACTAAATAAATGTCTCAATGCTAAATTCATGCTCAATATTTAATTTTCATCTTTCATTTTCTCCTCAAGTTGTATATTAATTTTAAGTCTAAATAAATGCACTGCGGCAGTGGCTACTGTTGCCCTTGGAAACGGTCGTAGCTCTACGTGACTCTGCGACGATCATATTTATAACAAGAATAGAATTACCCCCTCTTAAATGAGGTGATTAGTAATTTAGTAATTTTAAAAATAACAGAAGTAAAAAAAAAAAAATTAAAAGGGACGTTGCTATATATTCTGAAAATGCAACGACTTTCCGAGGGTTGTCTCTCCTGTTACCAATTTATTTTCTGTGCTTTGCAATCATTCAAGAGGCTTTATGAAGGGAATTATCTGTATATATATATATATAGAGAGAGAGAGAGAGAGAGAGATAGACAGACAGACAGACAGACAGACAGACAGACAGACAGACAGACAGACAGACAGACAGACAGACAGATAGACAGACAGACAGACAGACAGACAGATAGACAGATAGACAGATAGACAGATAGACAGATAGATAGATAGACACATAGACAGATAGACAGATAGACAGATAGACAGATAGACAGATAGATAGATAGATAGATAGATAGATAGATAGATAGATAGATAGATAGATAGATAGATAGATAGATAGATAGATAGATAGATAGATAGATAGATAGATAGATGGATAGATAGATAGATATCACTATTAAGGTGGTTTGATGGCTCACAGCGCTTCACATAAGAATTAGCTGTTACAGAAAATTAAACATTAAAAAACAACAAAAAAACAACAAAAGGTGAAAAGCTTGACCTCACCCACCCAAGTACTCACCTATCCAAGTACTATCTACCACTGTCCAGCCATGGACAGCACCCAGCAGCATCGAGCGTTATTTATCAGTTAGGATTGGGGGGGGGGTGAGAATGAGTGGGTATTATACAGTTTGAAGAGATGGGTCTTGAGGGCAGTTTTGAAGGCTGGGACGGTCGGTATATTGCTGATGTGTGATGGGAGAGAATTCCATTGTGTGTGTGCGGGGGGGGGGGGAACAGAAAGAGAGAGATCGTTCACTGTATGTTTTAGTGCGTGTTCTGGGAGCAGGGTATATAGATATAATGCAAGACTGTTTCAAAAGTTCCAGATGGACACGTGCTTGTTTTATTTGCTCTGCTGTTTGATGACGTCGACGAATGATTGTTTTCATCAGGGTTCCCTCCCAAGCTCTAGGAGGTATGGACGGTCAGTGAATAGGCACACGGGTCACTTCAGAAGGTTTCAGGGGACCCTCTTCCCCAAAAGAAACTCGGAAGTTGGACAGAAATGCCACGTAAAGACGAAAGTGCAGCCTGGGGCAGACCGCCTCCTGCGAACCCCCACATCCCACACCACCGTTTACCTTAAACCAACGTGTGACACGACACTGACCTTAGACACATCTTCAAGTTTATTTTATTGTCAATGTCATCCCTTGTTTTGTCACACGTGCCTTTTACCAGAAGGTCGCTTCAGTATCACCTTGACACATATCAATCTAACACAAGGAGATTTTAATCCATCTTTCTATCTTTTATTTCCCTTTGTGGTAGTGAGGCTCAGGGGCCGCATGCGACTCTTTGAAAGAATATCCGGCTATTTTTATAAACAAAGCATGCGACTCCCTAAACATTTTCCTCACAGATTACAGTTTAGTAAACATTCACGCTCTAAATCAGTGGTTCTCAACCTTCTTAGTGCCGCGACCCTTTAACACAGTTTCTCGTGTCGTGGCGACCCCCAGCCACACAATTATTTTCGTTGCTAATTCATAGCTGTAAGGATATTTGTTTTCAGGTGGTCTTAGGCGACCCCTGGAAAAAGGGTCGCGCGACCCCCACAGGTTGAGAACCGCTACTCTAAAGAAAGAAAGAAAAAAAATAAAAAACCCAAAACGTTTTCCGACCCCTGGCCTCTCAGAGTTCAGAAGTGACCACAGGACAGTCAAGTAACTGACAGAATGATGGTACATTTACATAATAATTTGAGATCTGGGGGCTGGGGTGAAAGAATGATTCAAAGAGACTGCAGTTCTTATTGGGATAAATAGTTCTGTTTGAAAAAAAATCAACTCTCAGAAACTTGGATATATGATGTCTTAATTTCCCACTCACAAGTCACGGACAATTCACTTTGTGCGTGTATGAGGCAGAAATAACTGACATAGTCAAATGTTGAAAAAGGTAGACATTTTTTATTTTTTTAAAATCTGGTTTAGAGTGTAAAGAATGAAGGCTGCGTGGTTTCCAATGACGACCAGCGTATATAATCTCGAACAAAAAGACAGTATCGCTCGTAATGCACTTTTAAAAGTAATGACAGATGACAGCGGTGTGTTGGTGGTGTCTTGAAGCCTGAGGGTGTTTCTTAATGTTTATATATGTAGTGGACCAAAAGTTACGCAACAAGAAATGGTGAGAAGAGACGAAGAAAGTAGTGGGGGTCGGGGGGGGGGGGGAATTCAAGGACGGGATTAGGAAAGGCTCCATGAGGTTTGAGAATGTCGTCGAGAAGAGGTTCGAGGTGGCGAAAAAAAAAATACACTTGGAGAGAAAGAGTGAGCTGTTCTGATCTAATACCCCAATGGCTCACATGTGATTCCTTAATAACACTTTTTGCTGCCCCATAAAACATGTAGGTCCCAATGACCCCAATGTAATTTCCCAGTGACCCCAAGTAATGCCACAACTATCCCATCTAATGCGACATCCACCACATGTGATGCCACAATAACCCCATGCGATGCCCTGATGACCCCATCTAACGCTCCAATGATCCCATGTACAGGCCCAAATGACCCAAAGAGATCCCCCAATGACCTCCATATGGCACTGTAAAACGCAACCCCCCCTCCCCCCCAAAAAAATAAAATAAAAATAAAAATAAAAAATAAAAATAAAAAAACTTGAACAGAAAGTGTGTGTGGGGGGCGAATCGATTGAGACCAGTTTAAAATGTTGGTCACATTAGAGGAAATACTTTGAAACAAGTTGAACAGATACTGAGACATGCCTCGTTGGAACTTTGCTCAATGTCAGACACAAAAGAGTAAATGTAAGACACAATAAGTAAATGTAAGACACAATAAGTAAATGTAAGACACAAAAAAGTAAATGTAAGACATATTAAGTAAATGTAAGACACAATAAGTAAATGGAAGACACAAAAAGAAAATGTAAGACACAAAAAGTAAATGTAAGACACAATAAGTAAATGGAAGACACAAAAAGTAAATGTAAGACACAATAAGTAAATGGAAGACACAATAAGTAAATGTAAGACACAATAAGTAAATGGAAGACACAAAAAGTAAATGTAAGACACAATAAGTAAATGGAAGACACAATAAGTAAATGTAAGACACAATAAGTAAATGGAAGACACAAAAAGTAAATGTAAAGTAGAAAAGTAAACGTAAGACACACAAAATAAATGTAAGTTAAGATGAAAAGATTAAATGTAAGACACAAAATAAATGTAAGTTAAGATGAAAAGATTAAATGTAAGACACAAAATAAAAATGTAAGTTAAGATGAAAAGATTAAATGTAAGACACAAAATAAAAATGTAAGTTAAGATGAAAATATTAAATGTAA